CTTTCGGTTGGGGTGGCGCAAGACTCCTGGAATCGTTGCCTGCAAAGCCACGCCAAACCACAGCAACAGTGAAGAAAGAATATGGCATGGTTTAAAGCGCAATGGCGTGGACATATGCACGGACATGCGCGTGCACACAAGTACACACACACACACACACACACACACACACACACAAAGTACACACACACACAAAGTACACTTGCTCACACAAAGTACACTTGCTCACTCACAAACACAAACACAAACACAAACATACACACCTGGTGCGGAGCTCTTTGTGTTTCCTTATGGAGATGCGGATGTAGATAAACTGCACGACGACGATGATGAAGAGGAAGCCGGCGAGGCAAGCGCTGACAATAAAGGCAAACTGCCAGTCCACTTCAGACCCCTGGGTCTCGATGACGGTCTGTGCAGAGACGCTGCTTGCAAGCAACGCCAGTGCAACAAGCGCACGCCAGCCCAATCTGGAGAATCGAGGCATCGCGGTGGGGCTGGTGTGCTGGCGTGTGGCGGCCTTTTCACAAGAAAGTCAAGAAGTTGGCGACGAAAGAATAATGTCGATGCTGTTGCTGGTCACGCTGTCGGGAAGGAGGGCGCGTTGCGAAAAGAAGAAGACGAGCAAGCTCAAGCAAGGCAAAGTTTGTGTATGTGTGTGTGTGTGTGCAACGAAATCCAAGTCAAGGACGGAAGTGGGGTGGTGCCAAGGCAGCGATGATAATGATGACGCTTAGGATGATGGTGTTGGCCTTGGTCGGGCTTGCACGTTGAGCGGCAGAGCAAGAAAGCAGAACTGAGGCAAGAAGAATCCCGGTGCGTGGTTGGAGGGTTGGTTGTTGTTGGGTGTGGATGGTGCTATGGTGGGGGCGGGGGATGTGCAGCTGGTTGTCAGCAGCGGCAGAAGCTTGAGCAACAAGAGAGGAGTAAGGCGACAAGAATGACAGTCAAAACAGCGTAAGGAAGAGAGAGAGAAGAGAAGTGGGGGGGGAGGGAAAGCATGCAAGCTGTGCCTGTCGTCGTGTGTCTTGGCGCTGTGGCAGCCCAAATTGACTCTCCCAACCAAAACAAAACAAGATGCATGCACAGCAAAACAAGGCTTTGGCAGCACGCAGCCCACCACCAGAGCAGAGAGCAAGAGGAATTGGGGCTTGTTTTGTGGTGGTGGCTGCTTCTTCGCTTGCTTTTCGCCTGCTGCTGGCTTGTTGTAAGGGAAAACTTGCGCGCACACGGAGAAGAAAGAAGAGGCACAGCAAAAGCGCCGATACGCCCTGACGAGCTCGGGCAAAGGTTTTGGTGTCGTTGTGCTTTTTGACCAAGCGAATTTTGCGAAGATACAAGCCAAATTTCCCGGCAACACTTCCATCGCGCCGGGCGATTCAAAAACCAGAACCGCGACAAAAAAGATTGGGGTCGGTTGTGAGGAGTGGGTGGGCGATCTGCTGGGATGAGCAGACACGAGTGGGTTGGGGCGTTGTTGTTGTTGTTTGTTTCCTTCTGCCTGGCTGGTGTGCTTCTGTGACAGGTGGGGTGGTTGTGCTTGGACCTGCTGTTGTGTGCATGCACAGATGCATGCCAACCAACCAACAACAGCAAAAGCCTGACCGGAGGAGGCGCCGCTTTGCCCCTCCCTTGTCGTGGCTGGTTTCTGTTTTGGCATGTCAGGTCATCATGTCAGGGCACGCATGCTTCCCGCGCTTCCACAACAAACACAGAGCACTGCGAAGAAACCAGTCGCTTTGTGCCTGTCGTCTCTCAATCGTCCAAGATGTGGGAAGAGGTGCTGCAACATCACTCTGAATCAACACCAGCTAACACTGTGAACACGGAAGAGAGACTGCACAGATTGGAAGAGCTGCGGAGGGCACATGTGCTGACGGAAGAGCAAGCACATGAGCAAATGCACGCTCGCTCACTCGTATGGAGAAGGGAAATAACGTGAGCGCGTGTGTGTATGTGCGCGCGCGCGCGTGTGTATGTGTGTGCATGCGTGTGTGCATGTGTGTGCATGCGTGTGTCTAATTTCAATTATGTATGTTGTTCACCAGTTCACCTACGACATGTAGCATAACCGTGTCAGTGCTTGGTTGTGGAAGGCAGCGACAGTGCAAGGGAAGGGAAGGGAAGGGAAGGGAAGGGAAGGGAAGGGAAGGTAGTCATGGAAACGCACAGCCAAAGCAACAACAAAAGCGAACAATAAGCACAGCACACACGAGGTGCAGCTGAATAAACAGAACAAAGGTGCAACACGGCGGCTGGAACGACAGACCGCCAGCAATGTACACACAACAAGCAGAAGGCCAACTATGGACAGCAGCAAGCAAGCAACGAAGGAGCAACAAAGTGGTGGTGTCTCAAGCATGTACATGAGTCTACGAGTGCGTCAAGCCGACAAGCAAGATGGGAGAAGCCAGGTAAACGACAGGCTAGCTAGTAGTGTTAATCAAGTACGGGAGAAGTGGGAAGGGGGTTTGCGACACACTGTGGGAGGAAATGAACAGTGATACCACATCACGCTTTGCTGGAGCCCGTCAGCTCCTCGAGCAACTTGTCGCCCAAGGAAGTGCTGATCTTCGCCGCGAGAGCCTTGCGCCCCATCTCACCTGCATGCGTGTGCGCGTGAGTGTGCGAGTGTGAGAAGGAGCAGCAAGGGGGGGGGGGAAGGGGTTGTTGAAGTGAGGGGCTTGGCACATCAGAATCGCCGGTGTGGAAGAGACACACAATACACACAAACACACAAACACACACACACACAAAAAAAAAAAAAAACACACACACACACAAACAACACAAACAACGCAACCACACACAACACAACACAAACAACACAAAACACACACGAAACACGAGACAACACAAACAACGCAACCACACACAACACAAAACACGACCACAACCACAACCACGACCACAACACAACACAACACTCACAAAAGCACATCCGCACACAGACAAGAGCATGCAGGAGCCTGTGCGCACCAGCCATGGCGTATGGGGTGAGGCCTTCGCGGTTCTTGATGGTCAGTGATGCGCCTGAGGAGAGAAGCAAATCAATCAACTCTTCATTCCTGCGTGGAGCAAGCACCGCCCCATGCAACGCCGTGTTGCCCTGAATAATGCAATGCAACACATGACGATTGCAGAGAGTGTTCGTGTGTGTTTGGCGTGTGTTTGATGTCAAGCAGGATCATACGCATACGTTCACACACGTGCGGATATGGGCGCAGACGCAGACGCAGACGCAGACGCAGGCATGTACACACCCGCACCCACACACACACACACGCACAGACACACACCTTGGTGCTCTGCGCGTTGACGTTGGCCTCAGCATCCAACAGCACCTTCGCGCTCTCCAAATGCCCATTGCGCACGGCCTCATACAACGGCGTGGTGTGCATGAGCGACACCGCATTCACATCTGCGCCCTGATCCAGCAACTCAAGCACGGTGTCCTCTCGTCCTTCGCCGACGTTGCTCAGCTCCTGAAATAACGCTTTTGTTGGCGCACTGCGTGTAACACGAGCAAGACCACAACAGAAACAAACATCGACATCGTGAGCGGAGACGTGGACAGCTCGCTTTGCAGCGACAGCGATGAATAACCAAACACACGAAAAGAATCATCGCACACACACACACTCACATACGCACGCACGAACACAACGCAACGCCACATACACACACACACACACCACGCACACGCACACGCACCACGCACACGCACCACGCACACGCACACACCACGCACACGCACACACACATACAACACACCCACCTCATGCCTTCCTTGCGAGGTCCAATCTTCTTGTCAATGCGGTCCTTGCGTCGTTTCGCCAACTCCTGCAGCCGCTCCCGCTTGTCAGCCTCCGTCTCCTCATCACGACCATCACGGCCATCACGACCAACACCAGTGCCATCGCGGTGACGGCTGCGACGCGGGGATGATGGCGCGCTTGCAAACAGCGCGTCGATATCTGATTGATGGGTTGAGCGGTGCTTCCGCGACTGGCGTTGGCGCTGCACACGATCATCATCACGGTCGCGGTCGCTATCATCATCATCACCGCCACTGCCGTCACCGCGCCTTCGCGGCCGCTGCCGCCGTTGTGTTCGTTCAGATGCAGACGAGGACAAGGCCACCGTGTTGGGCCTGCTGCTGCGATTCTTGGAGGCGGTGGTGGACCGGCCCTTGGTTCCGGTCAGAGATGACAGCGATGAAGGCGACGCTGCACGTGGATCGCGCGGGTCCTTTCTGTTCGCCGGCCGCCTTGTTGACGACAACGAGGACGATGATCGCGCCCTGTCCTTGTGCCTGTCCTTCCCCTCTTTGTCCTTGTCCTGTTTGTCTTTGTTCTTCTTCGACGCCCGGAAGGAGACGCCGCGCCGCAACTCAATGTCGTCAAGTGCAGACCCAAAGATGTCTTCGTCCTCCTTGGACAGCTTCAGCACGGACCCTGGTCGCGCTGGCTTCAGCTCCCGCAGCTTTCGCTTCTTTTCCTCCTCCTCCTCCTCATCCTCGTTGTCGTGTCCATCGCTGCTGGCATCGGCAGAGTCACCGCCCTTCCCCCGTCGTCTACGACCATGTCCACCCTTCCGTCCGCGTCGCCCCTGCTTGCTGCGCACGCGACCACCACGACCACCACCATCGCTCACATTGTCACCCGTCAGCGAGCTCGCATCATCGTCATCATCATCATGATCATGATCGTCATCATGATCGTCAGCACTGTCGCCTTCGTCAGTCGACTCCAAGAGTGCGGCATAATCGTCACCAGCTCCGCTCCGCTGCGTGTGTAGTGCGCGCGTGCCGGGCCGCTGTCCGCGTCGCCCGAGAAGCGCATGTGCTGCTGGCCTGTACTTGCGGAGTGTGACGGTGACAATCACGCTCTCGCCGTCATCGTCAAGCGACGCCTTTGTCACATCGCACATGCGCGGCTCTCCCAGCGCAGCCTGAGAAGCAACGACGGGTGTGTGTGTGTGTGTGTGTAAGTGTGTGTGTAAGTGTGTAAATGTGTGTGTGTGCTTGCGAAAGTGCGGTGTGCGCATGTGTTGGTGGACGACACAGCTCAAGCCAGTCGTTTGTGCGATAACCACGCAAGTGACCAGCAAAGCCATGTTGCAAACCACCCATGTCACGCCCACGGTCACGAGATGTAGAGTCCACACCGCTCACCTGGAAAGACGGTTGGTCTCGGCAGTATGCCTTGAGGTGGTGTGCAAGGTGCTCAATCTGCATGCGCCAGAACCCTTTGCCAGGGCTCACATCCCGCACACGATTGCCTGCAGGCAATGACATCGCGTGTGCAACCATGTCACCGTGTCAGTTGAGATGCAATGACGCCCAGGCACTGTCAGACACGACCTTCTGAGCCGCAAACGAACACACACGCACGCACACACACACACACACACACACACACACACACACTCGCACACAAGTGTCTCACCAGCGTCAGTGGTGCCTGAAGCCTTCTGCTGTTGCTGCTGCTGCTGTTGCTGCTGCTGCTGTTTACCGTTGTTTGCTGCTGCACCGCTGTCAAGGGTGGAACCAAAGTTGAGCACGGTCGTCTGAATGCCGACGCTCTTCTGGTTCCCGCCGCGGTGGTGTGCACGTGCGTCCTTGTCAATGTCCTTTGACAACAGCTCCTTCAAGTAGCGCTTGTACTGCGGCACGGCCAGGATCTCCGACAGTGTCACCTCGGGATGCTTGTTCATCTTGACGCTGCGCACCATATCTGCCAGTGAGCGCTCCTCGTCGTCGTCAGCCAGGTCGCCAAACAACTGCGATGGCGATGTGCGCGACGGCTGCTGTTGTTGCTCATGATGCTGCTGCGTGTAACCAAACTCGTGCTGCTGCTGCTGCTGTTGTTGTTGTTGGTGCTGGTGTGGGTAGGGTGGGTATGCAGCAGCGGCTGCTGCAGGCTGGGCGGTGGCTGTCGGTGTTGGGCCACTGTACGGCACAGTGTACTGCTGCTGTTGCTGCTGTTGCTGCTGCGGTGGGTACATGGGCGGTTGCGGGGATTGCCGGTGCTGCACTGGTTGTACAGGTGTGGGTGCAGGTGGATACAACTGCTGCAAACGCTGGCTGTAGTCGTCATCCCACTGCTGTTGTGGTTGCTGCTGGGACGCACCACCGAGTAGGAACTCTGCGCGCTCCAGCATGCGTCGCGCTGACACCAACGCTGCGCCGTCCTCCGCAGCCATTGTCGGCTGGTCAAACCCACTGCTGCTCACACCAACACGATGGCGTTGGGGCTGCTGTTGCTGGAAGGGCCCAGCGCTGTTGGGTCGGAATGGCGCTGCGCCGCCATATTCGCCGTCACGCCGCTGCGCATGGCGGGGATCAAGCATGGGCGATGTTGAGGCAGATGCCGCAGATGTGTGCGGGCGCCGTGCCGTGCGGTTCAGCTGCAGCGTATCGCGACCAAGCGCGCGCTGGGTTGCGTACATGCCGCCACGGCCTGCGCGGGGAGGACCAACATCGCTTGTTGGTGGACGCGGCGACCGGCGCATTGTAGACCCGCCACGCGCTCGCTGCCGGGCCGTCTGGATCAGCTCCTCAATCTCCGCGTCTTCCTCCTCTTCCTCATTGTGCGAGTCAGATGCTTCGTCCGCTGAGCCACTGTGGCGCCTGCCACGACCACGGCCCTTGCTGCGGCTGCGGCTGCGGCTGCGTCCTGTGTTGCGGCTGTGCTGCCTGCGTGCTGCCGATGTCGGTTTGCGCAGGGTGGGTTGGAACATGGACCGGCTGCGCTGTGTTGCTGTTGCGCCACGCGGCTGGTGTTGCAGGTGCTCTCCGCCGGCTTCGTCGTCCGAGTCACTGAGGAAGTGCTCGACAGTGCCGTCTGCCTCAAAGTCTGGCGTGGCGGAGCGCAGGTCGTCGATGTCGTCGTCGTCGTCGTCGTCGTTGTCATTCGCGGCGTTGTTGTCATCCGCAACCTCAAAGTACTTTGTGGTGATGGCGCTCGGGGCTGCGCGGAGGTTCTTGCGGGACACGGCGACGGCCTTGATGACGCGCCGGCCGGCGGGGAGGCGAAACGACCGCGTGTACTTCAGCGTGGGCTCCAGGGAGCTCACGTTCTTGCCTGTGTGAGGCACGGGCTTCTCGCCCGTGGTTGTGTAGTAGATGTCCACGCCAGGGTACTCGCAGCGAATGCGCACGCGCGTCTTTGGCCCAATCACTTCCCCTGTCGGCGTGATGACGGGTGCAGGTATCCCACCAGGCATGCTTGTTGTCGAACTGCTGTGGGGACGTGTGTGTGTGTGTTGTGTGTGTGTGTGTGTGTGTGTGTGTGTGTGTGTGTGTGTGTGTGTGTGTGTGTGTGTGTGTGTGTGTGTGTGTGTGTGTGTGTGTGTGTGTGTGTGTGTGTGTGTGGATGAACGGTGCTTGATGCGTCAGCGAGGTGTTTGGTCCAAATTTTGCGGTTGGCAAACGCTCGAGTTTATGAAAGACACCCACCAACATTCTACAAACAGCTGAGCGAGCGAGGTGCTGAC